CCCGTCTTTTTTCAAAGCATTTTCCAAAAAAAGTTATATCACACTGTAGCTGGTTTTATGAACATTTTCTAGTTTTATGAACATTTTCCAGTACTCTTAAAGATTGCTCTACTATGTGATTATGAAATGCTGCATAGCAGTACATTGTAAGAATGGCACATAAATAGTTAATCATTAACTAGATAGTGCCTGGCTACCACTACCAATGCTCTGATCAGGATCACAGTAGAAGGTCCTGGACAGAAAGGGAGACAAAAAATGTTGAACAAAATTCAAAAACATAAAAAACACCAGACTTACTGATCTGATAGAGATTTGTGGAACCCCTGAGACTGTGGCCCTAAATCCACCCCTGGGGATCAACTCTCAGCCAAGCAATAGGAAGGTCTATAACGTGAATAATAACACCAGGGAGGGACATACTCTACAGTACAATCAACCATACAAAACCAAAAGGGCAGCGTTTGGCCCAAAACTAAACTCAGAGCAGAAAGGGCCAGGAAAGAAGGGTTAATGGAAATGGGTAACCCAGAGAGGAAGTGGGAAGAAAGTTATTACACTGAGAAGACTGCAGCCAACGTCACAAAAGAAAATGGGCATCAATTGTTGAATGGAAAATGGATTTGCTCTGTAAATAGTCACCCAAACTACAGTAAAAAAAAAATTTTTTTTTTTTTAAATAGCTAACCATTCTTATCTTAATAGACTTTTAGGTTGTTTTCAATTTTATAAATAATTCTAAGATAAGCATCCTAACCATCAAATCCTTATTTATTTCTTTAGGATTCTTTTCAGTAAGTGAAATTACCAGACTAAAATGGGTGCATATTTGTAAATCTTTACTAAATTACTAATTGTCACAAAGACAATGACTAAATTGTCCTTGTGAAAGTTGTTCAGTAATGGACGAGAGAATTAATTTTCTTATGTGATTATTCTGTTTTTTTTTTTTTTTTTGCTAATCTCTGATGCTTTGAAGGAAGACAAATATCTATGATCTTAACTTGCATTTCTCTGATTAGTACAAAATGAACGCCCTATTTCTGACGTTATCCTCTCCTAGTTTTGTCTGCTCTTACAGCTGTTTTCCATTAATCAATAACTTGGTGATATGCTTCCAGGACACCCTTCTCTTGAAGCCACCTCATTAGATGGAGTGACAATCTGATGGAAGGACTGCATTTGCTTTTTTATTCCCAGCATCTGGCACAAATCATTTCACATGTATTTTCTGTGAATCCTCACTATAGTCCTATCATAGATAGAGGCAGTATTATTAACTTCATTTCACGTGTTAGCAAAATGTGTTTCAAAATCATCTTCCAGGTGAGGGTCTTCAGGATTGTGGGCAACTCCAGGGGATCCTAGGCCTGACTAGTTCTACCCTCAACCACAACTGATAAAATAGAGAACTCTTCTCATTCATGTAGTTTCTCTCGTCCAGTTCCTGAGTAGCTGATAACCTGGGTGGGACAGAGAAACTGTAACCTTAACCCTTATATTCTTGTGTTATGTTACCATTTGTGACATTGGGAAATTGGAGGAGTATGTTGTATGTAATAATAATAATAATGAAAAAACCCAACTAACCCACTGTGCTTTTTGTCATGAGAAAAATATTTTGGAAATGTATTAAAAAAAAAAAAGGCCATCTTCAGTTTCCCAACCTCCTTTTTTGACACCTCAGTCTCTCCAAGGCCTGTCTTTGCCCTACTCAAGATCTTCAGGGACTCTGGCCTGAAGGCTTCTGCTAAACCCCTGGAAAGGATTGGAAACCTTGGAGAGAATTTA